CTAGTCGTCTCTACTCTCAACTACATCTCTCTCTCTCTCTCTCTCTCTCTCTCTATTTAATGCCCCTAACCCCACCCATCTCCTCTCTCTCGTTACATTGTTAATTTGGTGCATTTGACTGTCTATTTCTTGTGTTTGGAGCATAAAGCCCATTTTCCTGTGTGTGGTAACTATTAAGGCACAAGCCCCCCCCCCCCCCCCTCTCTCTTGAGCTCTTGTGATACAAGCACCACCTCTCTCTCTCTCTCTCTCTCAGCTTTTGTGGCATAGTCAGCATTGAAGATGTCTAGCAGAAGATCACGATCGAGGCAATCGGGTTCCTCGAGGATCACAGATGATCAAATTATAGATCTTGTGTCGAAGTTGCAATCACTTTTACCAGAGATCCGAAATCGGAGCTCGGACAAGGTAACCAAACATTCCTTTATGAACTTTTGTTTTTTATTTTTTTTTGTGTAATTTATAAGTGTATAGTTAACTAGATATTGTTCTATGAACTTACATTTTCATGGAAATGTGCAACTTTTTTTCTTATTAATATTGGTTTTTGGTTTGTTTTTTTTTGCCTAGGTATCGGCATCAAAGGTTCTTCAAGAGACATGCAACTACATTAAGAGCTTGCACAGAGAAGTTGATGATTTGAGTGAGAAACTCTCAGAGTTGCTTGAAACTACAGAAACTAGTAGTGCCCAAGCTGCAATAATTAGAAGTTTACTAATGTAATTGCTCTCTCTCTCTCTCTAGTTTGAGTTGTAGGTTTGGTAGTAGAGCAGCATGGGTTGATAGATATCCCATAACTCCAAAAGAAGTTGTCACTGCTTTTAAAGCTCTCTCTCTCTCTCTCTCTCTAGAAAGTTATGAGTCTTATGTCACTTTTGCTCAAATATAAAGAAAGCTAAGGCCTTGTTTGAGGCAGGTGCGGTTTATGTATAACCCTGACACACCTGTAATGCATGAAAGCTATGATTGAGTAGTAGTGTCGCTCTCTCTTATTTCTTCTTCCTCTCTCTCACACACACATCTTGAATGAATGTTTTGCTTGAGCACTAGAAGCCCTTTTACTTTTTTGCTGTTCTATTTTTGTCTCTATTTCAAAAGGCGGTCGTGCAAGCCCTCTCTCTCTCATTTTTAATTCAAAAGGAACAGGTGCTAGCTCTCTCTCTCTCTCTCTTCTCTAATTCAAAAGAAACGGGTGCTAGCTCTCTTTCTCTCTTCTCTAATTCAAAAGGGACTGGTGCAATCTCTCTCTCTTTCTCAAAAGGGACTGGTGCAAACTCTCTCTCTCTCACAAAAGGGACTGGTGCAAACTCTCTCTCTCTCAAAAGGGACTGGTGCAAACTCACTCTCTCTCAAAAGGGACTGGTGCAAACTCTCTCTCTCTCTCTATTTCAAAAGGGACTGGTGCAAACTCACTCTCTTTCTCTCCCTCTCTCTCTATTTCAAAAGGGACTGGTGCAAACTCTCTCTCTCTCTCTTATTTGTTGTGGGAAACAAACTAGGACTTTGGACGCGGTTCTTGTCAGACTAATTAACTATTAGCAATCATATTCAAGCAAACATTTATTTAAATGCTATGGTGGATTCGTAGAATAGTTGCTTGGAATCAATGGCTTAGATTCGGGTAGGCTTTTTTTTTCATGTTGAAAAGGTTAACCTTTATTCAAGTATCAAAAGATTACAAAGATCTAAGCAACAAGTACAGTTTCAAGTTTCAACAGTAATTAAAGAATGGAACTCCACACCTCTCCTAGCCAAAGAATCAGCATCCCAATTTGCCTCTCTAAACACATACATCCTGAAAAGTGGCATTTTGTGACAAGCGCCGATCTATAGCCATAGCCGGAGCCGGAGCCGGAGCCGGAGCCGGAGCGGGAACCGGAGTCGGAGTTCACTAGAAGACTTCAGCCTCCAAACAAAGATTGCTTTGCTCTTCCCTACGTCATTTCATTTCATAGCATTAAGTGAATCTCTTTCAACAATAGTATGCCCGATAACACATACAAAGTATTGTTATAAAGATCTTAATTCGGCTTGATTAGCTGTCATGGAGCCACACAAACCCGCATAACTGAAACTAATCATGCCTTGTGAATCCTTTAAGAGTCCACTAATACCAGCTAGTCTAGGATTACCTACAGAACTCCTATCAAATTTCAAATGTAAATATCCCTTAGTAGGTGGTAGCCATCTACCCACAGGCCAAAACATATGATACTGCTGATTGATGATATTTGAGACCTTAACAGTAAAGTCTACAAAGGAAATCCCCCCATCCCTCTTTAGTTATAGAAAGTCACCTCTAAAGCAAGGCTCTCCTTTTCAACTCTTCTACGCACCATAATCATACCGTCAAAAGTTATTCTATTTTTTTCCTTCCATACCCTCAAAAGTTATTTTGTTTCTTTCCTTTTGTAATTCCCAAAGAATTGCTACTCTTAAGGATTTCCCAAATCACCAAACCTGATCTTGGCATCCGAAAGTATTGCATTATATCCACATAAATCCCCAGTAACTCCAAGATATAACCCATTTTTTGAATAATTCACACCCAAATCTGATAAGCAAAAGAACAACGCAAAAATAGATGGACACTGTTTTTTCATCCTGTTTGCACATTAAACAAATATTCACCAATATTTTATCCCTTTTTCCTTAAATTATCAACGGTCAGCACCTTACCTCGTGTGGCCATCCAAAGCAAAGCTTGAATTTTGTGCGGTACTAGCCATTTGCAAACTTCTTTAAGCCCATCTATGTTGTCATTGGTGTGCGTGGAAGCTCTAAACCCGATGGGTTGATTTTTTAAAAATAAAGTACGAGAAAAATGGAACAATTAACAAGTAAGAAAAATAAAGCAGGAAAGAAATAACAAAAAAAACAACATGAGAATCTACGTGGTTACTCACATATGTGACTACATCTATAGACACAACAAACTGAAACTCATTATACCAATGAAAGTTACATCATAGATTTTGAGACATATATTTATGTATCTAACGCTCTATAAAACCCAATCAAATAATCTCCACTGCTTGAGAGAACCTTGAGAGCAATCAAGACTTTCTCTAAGTAAAAAAGGAAACCACCCAAAATCTCCATGGGAAATTGGCCTCTCCATCTATATAAGGCACTTCGCGATGTTTCCCTCTATAAAAAGCTATCTTCTCTCTAAAGAGAGGTATTAGAGAGGTGTTGCCTCTCATGCACAGGTGGCCCCTACCTCTCTCTTTAAAAGAAGCCACATTTCCCCATATGATGATCCAAATTGGGTACACCTGTTGCTTCCTCTTTCACCCCGTATATATAAAGTTAGGAATCTAAATTAAATAGGAAACTTCCCATGGATATTACATATATCTTAAAACCAACAGATATACCTAGAGTTCTAATCGTTTTAGATTTTTATTTTCTTTAAGAACCTTATCCATATCAATTCCAATCCCACATAATATGAGATTTGCTTATGTGGGTGATTTTGGATATCAACATATGCAACAACCACCTCACACAATCATAGAAAAACAATCTATACATAGACTTGGACCATGAACATTCCATCATCCTCCAAATCCCACATAACCTCAATTGAGTAGGAAAGTTTAGTCAGAATCTGGAGTATCAATTATCAAACTGAAATATTCTTTGGAATTGTATACTATGAAGCTTTTTACAATTGTTACAATCAAGTCACAATTGCTCCTTACTAGATGTCAAATTGGATGACTTAGGCTATGTTAGAAAGTTGGAGATTTTTTTTTCAAACTTTTGAGTCCAGTCAATTGCACATTCAGATTTTTTTTTTCAAACTTTGAGTCTAGTTAATTACACACTCAAAATCAACCGATTTGAAATCTAACAAACAAGAACAAATGTGATCTCCTTGAATTAAAAAGAACAATTGTTTCATGCGGGGCTTGACCGCATATCTACAATATGCGGTCTAGAGGTATAAAGCAACCATCTTAAAGATGCATGCAAATAGGTTGTCTATCTAAAAACAATGGCAATTAATGGTCCAAATGTTTTTTTAAAATAAATATTATTTCTAATTTTTTATATTTAATTTTTTTAAAAAAATATATTTATTGCCAAGCCCGTATTTCTACATGTGTGGGCTTGGGTGCATGCTAACCGCATCCTTAAAAGTAAATGCTCTCTTTGTATATTTTTCCTTATAAAAAAATTAACACGTAGTTGAGCCATTTTAAGTTTAAATCTCTTAAGGGAATTGAAGAAGGAATTCTCATTTTCAATTCTACTAAGTGGCGTGAGGATTAATAATCTCACTCAACCGTCTAGAGCCCTTTTTTTAAGCTATTGAAATTGGAAAGAGATTACCAAGAAATAGTTTCCAAGGATATTGTCCATTTCAACCATTTGGAATTAAAGTATGAGTGGGATATTTTTTTACTAGCTATCGTTTTCTCTATTTTGAGCCTAAAACACATTGTTGTTCTTAACAAGCTAAAAATTAGTCAGATTTCCTTATAAAGCCCGGACAAAAAAAATTAAAACAAGTGCACAACTTGTCGGGGCCCAAAAATTAAAGGGGAATCTCTTCCCATCTCTCTCTTCCTTGTGCTTCTTATTCTCAAAATCCTTTTATCTTTGTTTCTCATCTCTCTTTCTGTCTCTCCATTCATAAAAATCTCTTTCTATTTCTTGCTCTAGACATTTCCTTCTCTCTCTATCTCTACCATATTTTCCTCTCTGAGATTCCTTGCATATAATCTCTTTTCCAAGTAGAAATATATCTTCTAGGTTGCATCCATACCATATTTTCCTCTCTGAGATTCCTTGCATATAATCTCTTTTCCAAGTGGAAATGTATCTTCCAGGTTGCATCCATACCATGTTTTTTTCTATGAGATTCCTTTCATATAATATATTTTTCAAGTAGAAATGTATCTTCCAGGTTGCATCCAGATGTTATCCAAACAACAAAAATCCATTTTACAGAATTTTCACAAGAAACGTATTTTAGAGGAAATAATTTGTTAGTAAGAATTTCTTTTCCAAGGATCCAAATGGGGGCTAAATGGTCTGTTCGGTTCATGAGGAGAGAGATTTCCCGCTAGATAACCGCCTTCCCAGATTTGTTTTATTAGAAAGAAGCATGAATAAGAGCAAAAAAGTCACACCCCCTACAAAAAAGGATTGTGTTGTGGGAAATATGTTAATCCCAATAAAGAAAATAAATAAATAAATAAAATCGATAAACAACTTACTCGGATCTGTCCTTAAATCACACGAGGGACTTAAGGTTTCATACCAAAACCTATAGACTAAGCCATCCGCTGACAAGCTACCTTGAGAGTTCTCTTGGTGAATCTCCTTCACTTTCTATCTCTATTTTTCTATCATTTTCTCTATCTTTTCTAGAGGGGTTAACCTCGAGAACACATTTATTTTGTAACTCTCACATTCATGGTCTATAGGAGTTGAAATTCAAGTGTAGCTTCTACCTTAATTCTTTTAAGTGCAACTAATTAAGATTAACAAGTTGTTACCAAACGGTTAATCCTATTTAATGAGCTAAGTCTGTCATTAGTCCACTAATGACTTATATAATAGGATATTATCCAAGCATTCCCACAATTTACAAAGAATCCAAACACACCACTGGGTTTTCCCTTCAGTGATACTGGGTTTTTCCCTCCTGTGATACATCCTATTAAAGCTAAAAAATGGATCTATGTATATGGCATTACCTCATGTTAGCCACATGGGATTTCACATATATTTCAATGTGGTTTTTGTACCATTATTGAATAAATGAATTTTCAGGAGAAAAAATCCTGATAGGCCACATTTCCAACAAA